GGCCCAAAGTAGGCATTGGGGTTTAGGGCTTAGGGTTTAGGGCTTAGGGTTTAGTGTTTAGTGTTTAGGGCTTAGGGTTTAGGGTTTAGGGTTTGGTCGGGTGGTTTTGGGGTTTTGCTAAGTCTATATAGTGGTTTGCCAAAATTAGGGGTACCTTCAAAGTGGTTTATAGGGTGATATACGGGGTTATATAAGGGTTCTATAGGCTTTAGGGTTTCCCAAATTCGGTTTATCTTCTTGGGGGCCCCCATGAGAAGGATTATAGTTTTTTTGGGATCTCTCTTAGGGGCCCCTTATTTTGGGAAGCTATAGTCAGAGTGTAAACTCCTTAAAGGTGGGTGATATGCGGTTATGGTTTAGGGTTTAGGGTTTCAGATTTAAGGTTAAGGTCTTAGGGTTTAGGGTTTTGGGTAGGGGTTATGAAGGGGGATCCTAGCAGTTTAGACAATGGCTCATATGTACGGTGTCCATCTTGTAGCAAGACTTTAAATCCTAAACTCAAAACCTTGAACCCTAATCCTAAACCCTAAGTAGGGTTTAGGATTTGGGGTTTATATAGGTTCTAGGGTTGCCTATAAAACCAAGGTGTTTGGGGATTTTGACCTACAGTCTTGGGTGGTATTTTCCCAGAAAGCCCAACACTCCTTAATTAGAGAATATGCCTTACATCGTATATATGCATATATATATATATAGACTTGTTTGGGTTTAGGGTTTAGGGATCATGCTAGGGATCCTCGTAACACCTAGGGAATATGCGCTACTTCAGGGATATTGGGCTTGCTGAGCATTTGGGGACGAAGGCACTGAGGGTTCACAGGATGAGGTCCGGGTAAGGCGTGGGGTCATGGTTGGATATTAGGTTCGGGTTAATACTCTAAGTCAATGTGGCGTATAACACCTTCAAAAACCTACAGAGGTCACGCATGCTTGCAAACTGTATTGTGACCTTACGCCGTTAAATCCTAAACTCTAAACCGTGTGCTCTCTGGGTACCGTCTGATCCGCCTCATGTTGCGACAATCCCCCCAAGCCAACCCTAAACCCTAAAGCGTGTGGTGATTTGCCATCTCCTAGCTTCGCACAAATAGCTTCAGAAACTAACAAGTGGAATGTAGGCCCTCAAACTTAGAGCCTTCTTGTTGTCTGCTGTAGTCAGTCATAGAATAGCTAGAGGGTCCTAATTTGCGGGTCGGGTCTTCCACTTTTCCTCTTAGTTCTGCGAGCTCAGGGTTGTCAAAGGCACAGAGTCAGGTCGGGATGTTTCAAGACGCGGGTCGACAATTTCATCCGTGCAATGAAGAGGTCATTTCCCATCCACCCTCATGCCCAAAGCGCTAGATACCCAACGCTAAGCCCTATACCATGCGCTCTAACACAAAACCATCAAAAAGCTATAGTCTAAACTCCATAAAAAGGGTTACATTGGGGATAATATGCAGGGGAGCATCGTAGGGCTTATTAAGGGGGATACCAGGAGTTTTGGACTATGGCTCAAATGCAGCAGGGCTTGCTCCCTGACTGTCAACAAAGCCAAACTATTTACGAGGTACCCCCAGTAGTACCTTTTTCCCCCTTTTTCTTTGGGGGTTTCCTTATTAAAGCTGAATAGTGGGGGAAAAATGGTACCCTTATTATGGGGTTACTGGGGAATCTAGAAACCCATTATTGTAGTTTCCATTTTACTTTCCATTATCCTTATGTAACCCCTATAAAACCCCATAATATAACCCCTATGTAACCCCAATATATACACTATTACAATATAGACTGACGGAAACCCCTAAACCCTAAACCCTAAACCGTGGGACTGAGCTCTGCATCCCGTGCCCTAATGTTAGGGTTCAAGGTTTAGGGATTAGGGTTCAGGCGGGGAATTGGGATTGAGAGTTTAGGGTTCTACAGTTCTACTGGTTTAGGGTTTATCAGTTTAGGGCTTAGGGATTAGGGTTGAGGGCTCAGGGGGAGAATTGGGGTTTAGAGTTTAGGGTCCTACTGGTTTAGGGTTTATCAGTTTAGGGCTTAGGGATTAGGGTTGAGGGTTCAGGGTCAATATTAGGCTTTTTAATTAAGGGCCCCTAAGAGCCAAAATCCTAAACCCCAAACCTTAAACCCTAAACCCTAAACCCAAAACCCGAAACCCTAAACCTAAACCCTACACCTCAGGTCCAAGAGGTGCGGGTGAGTACTGGCGCCTGTGCCGCCATCCTTGCAGATGGAAGTGCGCCTCGTTTCGTTTTATGGAAACGGATTCGTATCCTCCCCAAGCTAACATGGAGCCTTATACGAGCTATAGTGCAAAACTCCTAGCATCCCCCTCAACAACCCCTATAGTAGTGCCGCTATAAAATGCCCTTAAGGAGTTTAGAATAATCAGAGCTCATATCGCATTTTCTACATGGACAGCAGTCCTTGTAGGGCCCTCTTTAGGCTCCATGTTGTTTGGAGGAGGGCATATGAGCTATAGTCTAAACTCCTTAGAGGGGACTACTATAGGGGCTATTAAGGGGGATGCTAGGAGTTTGGACTGTAGCCCATATGCTTCTAAAAAGTGAGCAGCTTGGCTTAGGGGTGCGGGGTTTTGGGATTCTCCGGGGTCGTATGGACCTGTTCTCCCTGCGACCAATACTGGTCGCCTTCTTTTGTTGTTTTGTTTGTGTTTGGTCAATGGGGCTCAGGCCCCCGGAGGCCCCTGGCCAAAGTCGCACACAGCAGCAAGTCGCACAGCACAGCACGCACGAAGCGACTCTCCGGCATTTTCGTCTTGGCTTCAATGTCATATCACGGCAACACCCGAAACCCTGAACAAACCTTATATAACTTCTCGGTAGGAACCCTTACAGCGGATCAGCGGATCTACTTTCTAGATCCTCCTTAAACCCTAGGCCTAGACCCTGAACCCCTAGCCGGGGTCTGCGCAGGTGGTCACATGGGGCGACGACCTATCCGGTGGTGACACTGGGCCCGATGGTGTAGAGTTGATCTTGCATCTAAGAATTCCGGTTTTAGCCTTGAGGTCCAGCAGAGATCTACAGTTTTGGGGTTGAAGTCGGTTCGAACGAGACTCAAGTCATAGTTGTTTAACTTTTAAACTTTCTTTTTTACTCCTGAAAACGATTGAAAATGAGGACAGCCGCGCGGTTCAGGAGCCGGAAGCTTCTTGCGGGATGCGTTCAACATCCACTCGGAGTTTCCTTTGTGGGGGCCTTTTGGGGATGGTTACATACGTACGTACATACATACATACATACATACATACATGTGTACAGATATATGTACATATACACACATATATAGAGAGAGAGAGAAGGAAAATGAGGCCTTCATTATAGTGAGTGATTACATACATTCAATGTAGTACAAATACAAGTGTGCGTTCGTAGGTGTCATTGAGGTCTGTACCCATCCACAGTAGTAAAGGGCACGCCCTAAGCTCAAAATATTTGTCCCCATAACGCCCATGTAAGCGGACATTAGTGGTTCCAGGAGAAGCCCGAAATCCTAAAACCCAAAACCGCCCAAACCCTAAACCCCTGAACCCTGACGCCCTGAACCCTAAACTCTAAAACCCCTAAACCCCAAACCCTACACCCTAAATTAGCTTCCATTTTCTTTTCCATTATACCTACATAACCGCTACATCAACCCCTATAAAACCCCTCAGTAACCCTTATGAATCCCTATCAAACCCGTATATAACCCCTATACAAACCCCAAACCCCTGAAGCTCTAAACCCTAAACCAAAACCCTAAACCCGAAGCCCTAAGCCCTAAACCCTGAAAGTGTTAAAGTGTAGTTCCAGGAGAAGCTCCAGGATGTCAGCCGGCTCTTCTCATTTCGCTGCGCCTTTGCTGCCATACTGGCGGATGGGAGCGTGGTCACCTGGGGTCTCGCGGCCGAAATGGGTAGGATGTTAGGCGTAGGGCTTTAGGGTTTAAGGCTTAGGCGTAGGGCTTACTTAGGGGTACTTGGCAATATGTTTTACATTTTGCTAATTGTAATCCTAAGGTACAGCCAAAAATGTAATTTTTACTAGGGTTTTAAGGTTTAGGCTTTAAGGTTCCAGGGTTCAGGGTTGTAGGATTTAGGGGGGAGGGAGGGGGGGGCGGGGTTCAGGGTTTCGGGGGGCAGCAGAGCTAGTGTTCAGTAAAAGGTTTGGAGTTGAAAGGCAGTAGATGTCAGAGTTCTGCATGCTCACCCGTATCTCTATGCTGAAGCCTCCAAGCTGCAATCCTCAAGCGGCATTCCTAAACTAAAGCCCTGCACTCGACATACTTTAGGCCTTAGTTTAGGCCCAAGCTTAAGACCCTACACCCCCACAACCTTAACTCTGAGCCATTTAACTTAAACACTACACTGAAATCCAAAGCCTAACACCATAGCTGACGAAGGCTGGGTGAGGAAACTCCTGGCCCAGGGGTGGTCCCTTATAGAAACAGCCTGAGATGAGCCATAGTCTAAACTCCTTATAGGGGGGTTCTATAGGGGATTATATAGGGGACTACTATAGGGGTTAATAAGGGGGATACTAGGAGTTTAGACTATAGCTCAGATGGCACTAGTGTTTCGTAATGCGCCAACCTAGCCCGTAGCAGTACCCTAGGCGCCCTAAGGGTCCAAGTGTCCAATAGCTAAGTACTTGGGATTTGGGGAACAGTGACTGTAAACGCTATGGCGCATCTGCCTCAGAAGTTCCTCACGGACCAGTGGCGTGGGGGGGAGGGGGTAGGGTAACACGACTGCTTCGTAGCATGCTTTCCCCTAAGGGTCCAAGG